TTTTTTTTTTTTTTTTAAATCTAATGCTGAAAAGGAAAGAGTTAAGTCCTGCAAAATCTATACCCCATGAAAATATTTGGTTTGGCTTCTTCTCATATGAGCAAAGTAAAGATAAAACCTATCACTGGGGCACCTGATTTCTGATCCAGAGCTTCCAAGCTGGCAAGGGCTGGGTGAGAGGTGGGGTGGCAAAGAAGAGGGTCACCAAGGACTTACAGGGGTGCCATGAGATGGTGACGGCTATAACATTTTTAGGATGTTAGAAATTTTAAAATAATGTTTACAACTAGTAACATTTTACCACAGTTCAAATCAATATTTTACCACACTCTAAAGGTTTTTTTCTGCAAAGTCCTAAACTGCTGAAATATTGGTCTGTTTGACAGAAAATTCTCTATGGAGTGATACCCCTTCCTGATTGCCAGACAAATGCCAGATTTCCATGAAGACACAGGTTAGGCAGCACAACTGTAGCACATATAAAATAATTATAATTTTTTAGTGTGTTTTGCACAGAGGAGATGCTTATAAGTATTTATTAATGGAAGCTGGTCAAAGTGGCGTGTGCCTGTAATCCTAGCTACTCAAGAGGATCACAAGTTTGGGCTAACCTGCTGGACAACTTAGTGAGATGCTGTGTCCAAAGAAAGGTATCTATGCGGCATAGCACTTGCCTAGCAAGGTCCTATATTCAGTCTCTGGCACTACAAAAACAAAACAAAACAACATAATATACAAAAAAGATTGGCACAAAGGAAATGGAAAAATTACTAAAGTACAATAGGAATGAATATTTTTAGAACTTCCTGTGGCATTTAACAATGACTAAAGATAATGTAGAATAACATATATATATATATAAAATCAGACAACAAAAATTTTTATCAATTCAATCTGAATTTACCTCTCCAGCCCTAAAGGTACACCAGGAATATGGATGTAATTTGCATGCATTTCCATGGTTTTATTTATTAGAAGAATAGCAATTTTCCAGATCTTGCAAGGCAGATGCAGCGAGCACCAGACCCCAGGGAATCTTCTGGATTTGCTGGACAATAATTTTTTAGGGCTACGTGTTTACTTCTAAACATTTTAGTTTTGAAATTTCAAATGATGCCGTTATACTGTCTTTAAGTCTATGCATGAAAAGGCCATTGACTTACTGGCAATAATTTCATATGTCTTAGGCACTATTCTAATTATAGCTTTTCAACTTTCCTTTCCTCAGATCACACAAACCACCACTAGTAGCCAAGTCACAAAATTTGTATTTCTGAAAAGAATAAAAGAAAGAGATTAAAAAAAAAATCAAGGAACTGCAAAACAACTCTCACTATAATTTTAAAACTGCCCCATTTGTTTCACCAAAAGAAAGGTTAGTTTTTCTAAATCTGACAACTAATAGTTTTTGAAGTAAGAAACAATAATTTGGTGCTATGCACCGGGAGTTTTCAAGTAGTAAGTCATCTACAGGAAGCTGAGAAAACCCAGCTAAGCACAATTATCAAAGAAGGTGAACTGAGGGATTTTCTTCACAATTTACCAGGTTTTTTCTTCTCTCTTCATTTTTTGTACATATTTTTCTAACTTTTGTTTTTTCTACCTTCATCGTACACTAGCCTTGTCTCACATGACCCAGTAAAAATTTTGGCAGAGAAAGAAAACTCAGCTGGGTTATGTAGCTGCTTTTGATGGATGGATCACTTGACAGCTTGCTGGAAAAATATGTCCATCTGGGGCCTGTCAGCTACTCAAGAGTGCAAGGAAAGCAATCTGTAGCTATTTTACAGCCACAGGAAGATGGATAATTCAGCCTGGCAACTGGTTCCTCTTCTCCATTTCAGGATACAAAGGAACCACCCCTGGGATTATTTAACCCTGACAGTGAATTCATCACAAAGAGGTCACTTCATTCCCCCTTTTAGAAATTCTTAGGTATGGCTTTAGAATGTATTTAACATTGTTTTGATTATTTACCAAAGAGTGGAGAGTAAGAAAGGTTATTTGGAAAGCCCATGTAAGGTCACTTTTGTAAACAGTAAATTATACTGATGGAATGCCTGGTAGCCATAATCAAACAAGAGTTCTCTTTCAGCATGAATAATGACATGATCTCAAATGCCCCATTTGGTTCACCAGACAAAAGCTTATTCTTTCTAAATTTGAAAACTAGTATTTTTTGAAGTAGGGAACAGTAATTTGGTGCTATGAATTGGGAGGGTTCAAGTAGTAAATTATCTACTAGAAGTTAAGGGTTAAAACCAAGCTCGGCACAACTATCAAATAAGGTGAACCGAGAGATTCTTTTCACAACCTACCAGGTTTTTTTCTATTCTCAGGTGACATATAAATTAAGACCCCTGGGTAACCCTTTGAGACTAAGACAAGGGAATCAAAGGATTTACGATTGGTTAAGGTTAGAAAAATGAGTGGGCAACCAGCTGCTCATAGGTATCGCCACCTCTTGTATTCCTAGTAGATTAAAACATCCCTCAGTTTCTCCTGCCTAAAGGCAAGAATTTTCTCAAGACTTGGAAGTTCCCTGCTTCAGAAGATACAGCCCCTAGGTTCCTGCTTCTTCCCAATATAGGTACTGAACACCCAGTCCCCTTTTGTAGTCCCCACCCGCCAGAGCCACATGGTATTTGTTTCTTTCAATTGTAGTTTTGATTTATTCCCAAATGCTTGGTCCCTTGAAATTTCTTCTTCCCACAAAATTCAATTATCTACTAAAACAAATGCCAAAGTGGCAAAAGCACCTACTCTGGAGCCAAGTTGCTGTTAGTTGTGTGACCTTGGAGAAGATTTTGAACCTCTGTGCCTCTATGTATTGATTGAGGATACTGTTTCTTAATGGATTATTGTGATGATAAAGTAAGCATGCATGTCAAGTGCTTAGAATAATTACTGACACATAGTGAAGTCCATATAAATATTTGATATTATTACGTTTTTGCCTTCGCACCTTTTTTCTTACTTTATCCAATATTTATACTCGAAGGGTCCCTGACTACATCAGTCTAGTCTTCCATGTTCTTTCATATTCTAATTTGTTGAACGGAAGAAAGAATGAGATTCTCTTAAGAGAAAACCAAGTATAGCAGAACCTTGCTTTGAGGTGTTCTTTGATTTGTATCTTGTAACTTCTTCCTCCCGGAGTTAGCAGATGATAAGGAGGAATGATAAGGGACTTCTACCCAGTTGGGCTTATTCTACTGGATACAGACTGCTCATCAAGTTAGAGCTCATTGTTGGGAGTTTACATGATGTATCTAGAGCAAGTCTTCCAAACATAACAAAAGCAGTAGTATTAAAACATTTAAATTTCATTTACTTTATTTTCTTTCATGTCTATCTTCAAGTCTATCCTCTCTGATCCATTTCCTTCTTTACTTACACAGATTGTGAAGTTGGATTCCAGTCTTTGGTTCACCAGTCTCTGTGGACCCTTGATCAAAATGTTGAAACATTTAGAGATAACACGTCCTAATCTTTAAATTTGGACAAACACCAAAGTACTATTGCACAAAGTTTTTGTGAAAATTATTTTATTCAGCATGTTTGTTAAGGTTACAGTATCTGCCAGTTCCTTCCTGGGTGGGTTTATATATTCATGGTCCCAGTGAGATATTCTCTGAGAAATGCCTAATTTATTATCACCTTCCAACATATAGTAGCTACTATCATTACCTTCTTACCCAAACGTTTTACTTTTCCTTTCATCTAAAAGGAACTGAAAGCAGATGCCTCTCCAAATGTGTTTCATTATGAATCCCAGGAACAGTAAAACATAATTCTGTTATGGATACATTTAACTTTTTTGTCTGTTCCTGGTAGCTTTGTTTTGACCTTTTCATAGGTATTTGAATCAAATCACTGATATACTTCTTAATTTGGTACTGTCTGCTCTTTGCTCAGGCAGCTCTTTGACATATGAGAAATACATGTTAGGTGGTCTCATTATTTTCAACAAGAGCAACTGGAGATACAAGATATCTTGTATAAAATGGAAAAAGAAAATCATTTCAGAGAAAGTCCCATAGAGAGTTTGTGTTTATACAAGCCACACATTCAATTTTTCAGTACTTCTAATGACACAATTTACCTGGATGAGGTGAAGCATTTCTAGGGGAGGAAAATAGCAGATTAGAGGCACATAGTGCCCACCTGGTGCTCCAAGAGACTGAGCGAAATGAACAGGCGTGTAGCTGTTTGTGAGGCAGGGGATTTGTTGGAAAGTGCTGGGCATAGCAGTGTTGTCAGTGACCAGATGAAACCCAGAAATATTGTTTTTTAGAATAATAAAAGAAATAGAGAGCTCCAGCATGGAGATGCTTAAGAATGATCCCAAAGGGCTTACTCCTGGGAGGATCAGAAAGCCCGTGGAATATTCTATAT